ATATCAAAATGATATTAGGCACAAAAAATAGCTTTTAATTCACGCAGTATTTAGTACTAGTTCTGCAATAAGAGAAACACATCTTCATCTAAACTAAGCCAAGTACAAAGCTGCTCAGTAATGTAGGACATTTTGATAACCTAACCCTTACCTATACTTTTCATAGCTAGTATTGAGCATGATTTATTGCTTCAAGATCCTGCACACAAGCTGTTAAGTTTCATTTAGGACTGCAAATCTATGAGTCAGGTTGGCTAAAAATAAGTCTAAGGGCAAAACTTGGATTTGTTTCAGTTTTTTATTTGACTCAGACTTTTCTATTCTATTTTCACTGAACTGAAGTTCCTCTGGCAATAAAAATAACTGCAGCTGAAATGGTACAGATTTTATGCAATCCTTTGCTGAAATCTGATGTCTTCAGCAGTTGGATGTTTTGAGTTCTTTAAGGACATGTGGACAGGTACACTGGTCAGTGTTCACTGCCCATGTGTAGTCTCTGTAGGATTCAAATGTTGCCAGGACTTGATTATTCCCTCTTAAAAGACCCATAGGTAAAACATTTGAAAACATAACATGCAAGATACATAACTCCTTGAGTTTGTTTATTTCCACATAAACATGTGTCTTAAAAATATCTACATGCATACTTTACAATCTAAAACATGAGATGTGTGGCTGGTGGAGTTTTGGTAGAGATTTGAATAAAGAATAAATTGGTTGAGAACCAGCAAAGTTGGTAAAAACAAAAATGATTCTATAGGTTGGAAGGAGCTTCTTTGGGCATTATTTGATACCCTTCATTAATGAGACATCCTTGGTTACAATGGTTCCACTCAAAACTGGTGGGAATGTGGGCTAGTTTGTTAGGTTCCCAAAAAATTTGAAAGGACTCAGTTAAGAAACCTAACCCTAAATAGAGATTACTTGGTGGGAAAGTGCTATTATGCTTACACAAGAACTTGCCAGGAAGACAATTGGAGTAGTGAAACAGCTCTCAGTCTGAGTCTTCAAACCTCAGACAAAAAATAAGGCTAGGATTCACAGATAACTTCACCTCATCATAGCACAAAAAGCATTTTAACCCCATAATGTTTCTCTATCATGAATCCAAGAACTTGGTATGATTCACTCTGGAGCTGGCCCATTTAGAAAAACCCATATTAACTCCCAAACATCTTCAGCAAGCCACAGAAAACGAGGACAGCAGCTATTTTCAAGGCAGAGGACCGATCCGATGAGCGGCCTCCACAGTACTGTAAAGCAGCACATCTGGCTCCTCAACCAGAGCCTCCAGGTTCAGTCACTTAGCAAAATAATCCCTCAGTGAGCCCAGACAGTCATTACTCTCACAAAATCATCCCAAAACGAGCACATTTTTTAGAAAGTCCATTACCTCATTTAAAAATAGAGGGGGAAAAAAACAATACATTCTTTCAAATCGACTACCCTTTGACCGCTGAGTAAGAAAAGGATCCATCATTCCTCATTTTCACCTGCTGTCTAAGAAATAGGTGAGTAATGGAGTTTG